GAAAATGAGCACTTTTGTTGTAAGAGTAATCGGCACATCATGTAGGGAGAAGTGTGAAAAGGCAGTGGTAGAAACCCTGTTACTGGAAACACACTGCAGTACAACCACTAGTCTAAGCTGAGAGTTAACTAGTGGGAAACATTAATGAGCTGTGAAAATCTGCTGAGTAATCTGTGAGAAGCAGAGGTAGCTCTAAGAGAGCAAAACCACTAACAGCTTCAGTCACTGCTTCACAATGTAAAGCCTAGCCTTTCTGGAAGGGTTAAGTACTTGTCTAGGCAAAGCTAATGGAATTAATCGAGTAGAGTAAGAAGTGTTGGAAATCTGCTGCTGTTCTCAGCATCCATCAGCTTTTGAACTGATGGTGCACAATCTCAGTGCACCTCTGACATCCCCTCATCTCTGTTCTGCCTTAGACAAAACATTGCTGACCTGGAACTCTTAATCTGCCCAAGAGCTCCTGCAGTGTCCCCTTCCAGCTGCTGTGCTGCTTTCTCATTGAATGGGTAATCTGGGTGGTTCCCTTCAGCAGCTCACAGTTCTTCCTCTCTTCCCATCCAGCCTATCCAAATCCTGCTAATTCTGTCTGCATGGCAGCTTTTCCTGTTCGTGCTGCTGAGCTTTCATCCAAGATGTCAGTGATTTTGCATCTTGGTTACTCCAGCATCATTTCTTTGGCTTTTGGCAGCTGTCATGTGACCTGGTTTGTATCTCTTCAGAATATTGCCACTAAAGACTTTTGTAGCCTCATATTTGACAGGGAATCAACCTACATTTGACTCCATCTGTGTCATCTCATGCATAAGCTGCATGTCCTGGACATGAGTATCTGTATTGCTTACTCAGTTTCCTCTTCTGAAACCCTTTCTAAAATGCTGGCTTTTTTCATGCCTACAAAAACTTGACTGTGATTAGTCTATTTATATGGGAAAACTACTCCTCATTGCTTCGTGCTGTTACTCTGCCTGCCCCATCTGTATTCATCTATTGTGCTTTGTGTATCCTTAACTCTTTTTATACCTGAGTTATTATTACCTCTTTGAAGCAGGTATTTGTTTGTTCTCATTTATCTTGCTCTCTGGGGCCTCCTGAGGGACTAAGTCTGGTAGGATGTAGAAAGTTGCACGTCTTTACAGCTTACTTTGCTGAATCAAAATTGCTTTATTCCTGAATAACAGGTGCTTCTTCCTGTCCCTCGTGCTTAATTCCTGTGTGTCCAGAGATGGTTCTGAAGCTGCGTGACACTTGATAAGGTCTGGTCACAACTGGAGAGAGCTCTGTGGCAAGAGCAGAGTGTCAACTCTGTAGGACCCACTTAGGCTTGTTTCCTTTCCCAAAACTTGTCTGCTGGGATTAATGTGTGTTGCATCACTGTTTGTTACATCTTGAATAATGATTCTTAGGATTCTTAGTCAGGTTTGTCATTGTCCTCACCAGTAAAGTATAAGGTATCATAAATAGCATTAACTTTTCTTGTTTCTGTGTCCCATTAACTTGTCTTGTTTCTGTCTTGTTCTGTTTCAAATTCTTTGCTTTGGTGTAGTTCTGTCAGAAGTGCTGTATTTGCCAGTATTAGAAAAAATTCCATTCTCATGAAGAACTCACATTGTGACTAATAAATTCAAATTGCTGATATATTTTCTTATTTGGAAGTCCTTGTCAGCATGGTCCAGTTGGACAGCATGTGGGAGGACTCCACCCTGTTCGTGTGGATGGGACCTGTCCTTGTTGCTGTCCTTGCAGAGGGAGCTCAATGCAACTACCTGCACTGGGCCTGAGGTTTAGACCCCAAAATGCAAGAATGGCTTAGGCATGGAAGCAAACCACTTCCTGCTCTTGAGCATGGCCTGGCACTTACGGCCTCATCAGAATTACACGTGAACTTGGATCCCACCTCTGTGTTACCTGAGGTCCTACTAACACAAGAAAATTCATTGTTTTGTTAGTCTTGTATTACTGATGACAAAAAAAACCAACCCAGTGTGTCCACTAGTAGAGAGGTGAAACTTTAAAAGTAGTCAAGAACATTTGTGTAGGAACGCTTTATATCGAGGCAGGCAGGAATCGTTGGTTCAGCATTAGCAGCACTTTGCTGTTGTAATATATTACTGTGAGCAGCACTGTTAATCCCTTATCCAAATGGGATTCAGGCACCGCAGGTTGTGTATTAGAGGAACACAGGATCCAATACTCTTGGCGCGTTGTTTCTTTTTAGTAAAGACGTTCTTCCAGCTCATCTTTCAATACACATTCCTTGGGCACAGTAAGTGCAGAGCAGAATCTGCAGGCTGGAATTCCTTGAACATGCTAATAGGAGTAAAGTTTTAAGGAAGAGTTTGGAGTGTGACAGAAGTATGGGAATGCAGAAGCTATAAAATAAGGAAGTAAAACATGGCATAACAAATACGCTCAGGGCAGAGAGAAGGAAAGGGAAGGATGTTGCATTTTCATAAACTTGCCCAAAATATTCTTTAGGCTGGCAAACATCATTCATTTGGTCTACTTCGAAATATTGAGGGGGTTTTTCTTTTTAATATGAGCTGTTGATTTTGAAATGGAGTTATAGAGCTCTGAAGTAGATTTATCTTTCAGTTACAAATAGCAAATAAAATCATTTGCATGGTAAGCTCATATAAACAAAAAGAGAGGTAGTCTAAGTTATAGGCTTAAGTATATGAGCCAGAAATTCCGGAGGCTTTCTTTAACCAGCTACTATGCTGGATGTTTATTATTGTTTTCATATCTGTTTTGTCATGGAATACGCATGATGGGAATTACTTAACACATTGTGTTGGGGTTCACATTACATTACATCGATCAGTACTAGCTTGCTCTGTAGAAACCTTCAGAGAAAAATAAACAAATGTGATGAAAGATTGATGGGACAGCACCTAAAATTCCTTGCTGATAAAAACGTGATGTGAAGTATGTTTGTTTTTTTTAAAAAGATGACTAGAGAGACTTAACCAGATTGTAATCTGTGAAGCTGAGCTACACCTACTCCTTCATAAGTCTGTTCTTCGGTACAGAAAACACATGCAACTGAAATTTATTTGTGTAGGGACAGTGTGAGGCTTCTGCTATAAACCACATATAAAGGTATAAGCAGCACTAGGAAGCTGGTGATTTTTTTTAAACAGTACTTGTTAGTGAGACAGATGAGGCAGAAGTGTTCATACATCAACTACCTTGATTATTTGTAGCTTCTGGGGGATCTCTTGAGTCTGTGCTTTCACTTTTATGATATTAAGATCCTTTTAATCATAAGGATTAAAATGCTTATTGAGTGATGTGTTAGGGAGGATTCTGCATCTTGTAGCTATGTTTAATTAGGAAAAGATAACTAATTGAGGGGTGGAGATTACAGAGTGGAAAATGTGTACTGATCAATCTCTGCTTACACATTTTAGTTACTCAGACAGGTTCACGGGAAAGCAGAGGCAGTTGACAAAGCCATCTGCTAATCTAGTCCTACATTTCTGTTTGTCCACCTCTATGCCACAAGTTGCGACATTTGGAGAATTTCTTTTTCTTTTGCTATCCAAGTAAATTAAAAGGTTTTCATAGCATTCTGTCAGAGTGCATCTGTGCTTATGTTCTAAAGCTTTGAAACACATTTCACAGGATCTTAGACATTGCCTGAGAGGTCACTGAAGCCAACAGAAATAACGAAAAATTAAATTCTTCATTCTGCTTGGTGGAAAGAGTGTCTAGATGGCGTTTAGCAACCGAAAGAAGAAAACGATGGTCTGAAAGGATGTAAACTACAATCATTAGGGAATGACAGAAGTCCACAAACAAATGTAAATTAATGTGGACAAGATCTAAAACTAGCGTGTTTGATTGTTTTTAATTAGTTCATAGAAAGGACAATGGTGAAGGATAATAGATAGGTCTAAAAGACATCTTAGATGCCAGTATTAAGTTACAGAGAAAAGAAATAAAAGGTGAAGTTGGAACTGTAGTGAAAAATATTAAGGAAAATCAGAAAGCCCAAGGTACAGAATAAGATGCAACTAACAGAAAAGAGCAAGCCTGTCGTTTTCTCTGTGAAAGTCCACTCAGTCAGGCCACTTGTGTCTTTTTAATATAATCAGCCTGAACCATAAGGACCTACAATGAGGATATTTCAAAATACAGAAAAGGAGAGAGCCTGACACACTAGAAATGTGAAACTAGACTTAAATAGGAAGAGTCAAGCTTTGCTGTTGTGGTAACTGATGCATGCCCATGGTACAAAAAAGCATTTCTAGAATATTATAACATGAAAAATTGAAAAGCTTATGAGAATTTAATGGCTTCATTTTTCTAATGCACACTAGTCATGAAACTTGCAAGTAATGTTCTCCTGCACCTTGGGGGATATAATGTAATGCAGCAAAAAATTCTTGGTAATGCCACTTGGAGCTAAGCTTTCATTTGTGCAACAAATGTGATCTGTGGCAACAATCCCTTGGGAATGAGCTGCAGCAACATCACCTTAATGAAATATGAACTGAATGCCACTGTGGTCCCATCAGCTTGTCAAAAACATAACCTCCACCTTACCACGTTTTTCATTCAGCAATATGTGACTCAGCTTTAGTAATGCTAATTTGGATTTGTTTGTGGTTCCAGTACCTGAGAAACTTCTGGGGGAATGAAAGGGCAGAGGTACAACAAAACAAGCAATTTGGAGATTTTTTTTGCACAGAGAAAAGCATTGGTAATTTCATAGGTTGTTCTTACCTAATAAGGGATCCAAGATGCTTCTCCCTAGAAACCTCTGTCTATATTTCTGGGATTACTTCTGAGACCAAATTGTGATAGACTAGATCTGGTGTCCTAGGTAAGGTCTGCTGTAACTATTGGTATTCTTTTATATCTCACAAATACAAGAAATCCTTTTCTCTCTCATAATGATCCTGAAATCAAGTGCCTTGCCTGTGTGTAGCAAGAAATTATCTTTCTTATGGGCAGTTCACAGAAGCTTTTTGAGAAATAAGCACAGGTAAACTGCAGAACCTTCTCCATGAATTTTAAACAAAAGTGCTGCTTCATGATAGGTAGCCAATAGTCTTAATTCAGGTATATCCTTCCTTATGCTCCACTTTCCTTCCTAAAGAAAAAAAAAAGGTTTTATAGGTTAAAAAAGGGAAACTGTAATACAAAATCCAGAAGACCTGACAAGTATACAGTCCTGAATAATTCCAAGTTCAGGTTAAAATAAAAGAATAGATTATAAAAATAATCTATAAAATATAAAGTATAGAAATACTCAGGTAAAGCAGTCTGTACTCTTAGCTGGGTAATAGCAACACCAGGAAAAATAAATTGAGGCAATCAGACTGTTCTTACCAAAGGCATTTATCTCAATAAGACAGCCTAGCCATCTATAACAAACTGCTTCATCTAATCAGTGACCACATAAATGCAGCAGTTCTGGCTGTAGCCAATGTAACTCCACAAATTCATTATTTTGAGTGTGCTGAAAATAAAAGTCACACTTCATTACAGCTCCAGGTGCCCCATTTATTTTCTTGCTTTTCAGAATGAGATAATGCCATAGTTTCTAGACAGCCATTAAGAGGGAGAAATGTTACAGGCTGTACATTGTTTCTTGTCATAGGAATAGCTTTACTGATGGGTTGGTAAACAGAAGTGAAATATCAAATGGGTTCTGCTTTGGTTCAAAGCACCTTGCTAAGTAGTGGGATCAGCTGCAGGACTGGCAGCCAGCATGATTATTCAGAGTACAAGTACCCCCCATCCCAACAAACTTCACAAATAGCTCCACTGAAAACCTTGGTGTTGAGTTGGATACTCAGAAGTTGATGCATTTGCTTTAGGGGGTGGTTTCACAAAATTTAGTCCAAGTGACTTGTAAAATGTTATATAGGAAGCTTGTAGCAGAGCTGAATGCAAAAAATTGGGCTTGAAGTCCATATCTGCTATTTCAGACAACATTCTCATACTTTTAAGCATAAAGACCATATTTTAACTCTACAATGAAATACAGGAAAATGAATTTATTAGGAACTGAATTTCCCTCACCGACAAGACATTGGACCGAGGCAGATTTTTTTGGAGTGCAGGTTATGTTAATATTGTAAATTCAGCTTGTGCATCCTTGATACATTAATTTCTTTCAATATGTTGCAGTCACTTTTTAAATGACTGCTGGCTGATATTTAAGGTTAAAGGACTGCTTAGAGCTGTTGTGCTCTATATATTTTCAGATTAAAAAAGAAGTGTGCTGTGACAAATGTTTCCTTTTGATCCCAAGACACTTAAACAAAAGTTCTAATTGCAGTCCATACAGAAACCTGTGAGGACCTGAATAGCTGCAGGCTTGTAGCAGAGGCTGGTACTGCTGTCATACTGTCAGACACAATGGGCTCCCTCTCACTGATACACTCAAGGATTTGACGTGAAAGTCACAAAGACAAGGGATTAAAAAGTGTGTAGGTCTGTGGCCTTTGGGAAGGATTTCTGGTCTTTCTCAGTGTAGAATACCTGCAGCATTTTAGAATCCTGGAAGCACTAAGTGGAAGTGTTTGTTGGAGATTATCTGATCTGTCCTTCCATTTGAAGCAGGGTTATTGCCAACACCAGCTCAGCAGTGGCTCTCTTAGCCAAGCTGTAAAAATCTCCAGGGACAGAGATGCCTATCTGAGCAGCTGTTCTGGTGCTGCATCACCTTTCTAGTAAAAAGGAGGTTTTATAATACCCAATTTGAAGTCTAAGAACTGCAATATGTGGCTGTTGCCCCTCATTATATCTCTTGGCAAGACTGAGAGTAAGTTGTGTTCTGCTGCCTTTGTAACTGCCCTTCAGATAGCTGCAGGCAGCTATTAGGCTGCTCCTTGGCCACCAAGAGTTTCTTCCACCATAAAACTAATTTTAATTATAAATAAAATCTAATCTAAATCTCTTGCTCCTTCAACATACAGGTTCATGTGCAACTCTGAAATGGGGAGTAGTGTTACTATTAACTGGAATGAATTCATATGTTGTCTGGTGATGTTCACCCTACCAGTGATACAGGTGCAAATATGAAACACCTTATTATTGTCTGTCCTGATTACCTGCAGGTTAGAAGGTTTCACCTAAAAACTCCCTTCACAGGAGTTCACAGCTTGTGAGTTCTGTTTGAAGTTGGAGCAGCAATAAGTTCAGGCTAGGTGAAGACTGTGGGAAGGTTGTGAATTTTCTGTGGGTTAGTTACTTTGTACAAGCTTCTGGTATGGGCAAGCCCTGGGAATTCAGAAAGCACTGCAAATCCTATGCTCTGGTATTTTAAAAGCAGGGAAATAGTGTATAAAGATATCTGCAGTATCAGAAGAGAGGTCTCAGGATAATCCCAAAATCCTAAGGACAGTTTAAAGGCTGATTTTTACACTGGGGTTCATCCATCTGTGTCTTTCATGTTACTTAATCCCTCATGCTTGTGCAAAGCAAATAAAAGAACTATTACAGGGATCTATTAATTTCCAGTTTTGTGTCCCCTCCCTTAAAACGGTGGCTTTTCCACTTTTCATCTTCCATAGCTTATCTGCAAAATGAAGTTACTTCTATTTGACCATAGCCTGAGAATTCATTTATGCTTTCTCAAGCAGTTTTCTCACAGAGAGATGAGTATCTTTGTCTTGTCACTTTACTGTACAGAAGGGGGAACTGACACTGAAGGAATTCTGCAGCTGTGATAATTATCCACTATTTTCTCACTTGTGAAATGCAAAGTATGAGTGGCACCTGATCAGACTAGGATCTGTGCCACAAGCCTAATTTTAGCTCAACCAGCAATAATAGTGTGAAAACGTGTGCATCTATGTATATCTATAATGCATATGCATGTTTGTGTAGAAAATGTTGTGTAAGAGAAAGCCAAATGCTCTTGGTTCTGTAAAGCAAAACCTGCCTCTATGACATTGTAAATGTCAGATCTTTGCAGTATCAACCACCACCCAAACATTGTGTTGACTGGATTAAAAAAAAAAAAGTTAGTATTCAGTTTTCATCTAGGCTCTTAAATCCAGAGGATAAATTTCTGAGAGCAGGGGAGCACCCAGCAGCTCTTCTTCCTGCCTTTGGCAAACCCAGCCTCTTTCCTGTGGTCACTAAGAGGAATCTTTGAAAATCCTGTTTATTTTGTGGCTGTTCAGCAATTTTAAGCATCTATTTTTGAACAGATAAGGGGACAGAGATAACTGGGCTGTCTGACCTCACTGTATTCTGTTTATTCGCGATATTTACTGTACTGCAGCGCTCTTCATTACTCTAAAGTCTAAAGGCAAAGCATTGGTGTATGTGATGTTGTAGTGATTTTCAGACATTCTTTGTGAAGGCTTCTCACGGCTGAAGATCTAGCAAAACTGCATGCACTGTGCTTTTCCTGCAGCTTTGTGATATCCACTTGCCCCATTCCCGGCCAGCTGAGCTCCCCCTCGTGCACCTCTTTGGGATAGTGCTGTCTTTTCCCGTGTTGCTCATCTTCTTTCCTGGCGTGCTCTGCCTCCGTAATTAGATCTCAGTCGTTTATTTGCGACATCCCAGTTGGATGGCACGGAACTGGAGAAAGTGCTAGCTAGTGAAAAAGGAGGAGGATTAGAGGAGCTCACTTAGCAAGGCACTAAGTGGATGGTGTTACCATGAATCCCTTCACACAATGAACTGCACGAGGCACTTCATTTCCAACCATTCTTTTGTCTCGCCTTCCTTCAGTTGCACAATACTTTCTTCATGCCGCCTGCACGGTGCTTAACGTGCAATCATGCCTTTCTTATTGTTACTAATTACAATAAATATCTTGGAAAATAGCAAAATGTTGATGTTAATTCTCAGCTTCTGTCGTTTTGGCTGAATGATATTGTCCTGCCGAGCTTCGTTTCCTAATGAACCATGGTATCTTTATGGAGCTGTTTCATGGGATCCAACGTTTAAATTTTGTCTCTGGTGCCTACAAATGGGGCTTTAGTAGTAAAACACATTTGAAAGGTTCTTTCTACCAACCAGAAGAATGGATCATTGCACTCACCTGGCCTGCAGCGTTGCTTCAGAAGTGACTAAAGTAATGCAGTTGGTGAAGGTGAAAAATTGTGAAAGAAGAGTGGGGACCCAAGGCTGTGGTGGAGCTGTGATGTAGCTGTCCCTGCAGCTTCTGCATGTGCTACGTGTCACAGGTAGAAATGGAAGCTTGCTGTTTGGCCAACGCTAGCATTTGGCTGGGACACTGAACTGGAGTTCTGGGGTTATGGAGGAATTTCCTACCTTTTTGTGGGTTCCTACGCAAAGTTAGAAAAGATGCTTTAGTCTGTGCGCCTTGTTTTTGCAACTGTGTAATGAGAGTGATTCTTTTGTACGTGTTTATCTGTTTATTCTATTTATGCTTCATTTCTGTATCTAGAAATGTCCTGTTAATTGTGAATGCAGTGCTTACAGCCCTGAGGCAGTACTGAATTAGGTCTTGGATGACTACAAAATATATCAAAGCAGGAAATTAGAATTCATCCAATCAGTTCTTTCAGTCAGCTTTATAACTCAAAGAAACAGGTGCAATCCATGTAAGGTATGTTCCTTGTGTTACAAATCAGTGGTCAGGCTTTTTTTTTTCTTTTCTTTAAAAAGATATCTGATGTATCTCTCTGAAAAAACCTCTTAACTGTTGCTTTCTGTAGTTTGAAAGAGTAGTAATAGGAAATGTGTACCTTGTCAATGGTGGTGTATTTCCTAACATACTATTTCTTTTGAGGTCACTGTGGTGTAATAAATAAAGCCTGATAGAACAACAGCGTTCCTGCCTGGCTGTGGAGGACTACAGCTAAATGCTGATTACAGCAGCTTTCAGAGATGGGACCTTTTCATCTAGGCCTACCTGATGGCTTTCGTTGTCTTTTGAAAAGGTTCAGACTATGTAGAATATTCTACTATAATGCTGTCTTTAAGGTCATATGCGGGGCGGTATTAAAACAATATAAAAGAACATTGCTTTTCTTTGCTGTGTGTTGTGGCACGTGAGACTGGGTTTTAAAAGGAGCATCTTTTAAATCTGTAGTAATGATGATTCTGCATGTGGAATGAGTGAAAATTGTTTAGTTCTCTGGAAGTGCTCAGACTGCTAATACTGAGCTTCAGTTCAGACCTGAGTATTCGCTAATGATGAATTAGGCTAACAGTTGGCAGCTAATGCTGTTCACAGAATCAGGAATGTTTTGTGGTCAGCTATGGCTCTCCTGGTGACACATCTGTGGCTATAAAAACAAAGCTAGTGAGCCAGGTTGAGAATTCACCTGCATCTGAATAGTAAAGTTATTAATGCTCCAGTACATGAGACTTTGAAGCACTTTGAGGCTTGCTGTCGATCATGAATCTTGACACATGGACAGCAATGCACTGGCACCAACTCACAGACCTGTGTTACTGGAGTGAGTGAAAATCTGGGAGTTCTCTTGTCAAAAAATGGAATCTTAGTCCTTAGGCATAGGAGCAAAGTTGAATTTTAGCATAGTTCTTTTTATAGTGTTCTTTGCTTCTTCCAGGTGTATAAATGCAGCCATATTCTGCAAATAAATTTGTTTTTAAGAACTTTTTTGGTGCTCAAAGAATTTTTTGTAATTCCATGATGAATTTTCCACTTCTGTGGTTTTGGAGAAATGGCTGCTTCCCTCATGTCTCATAAGTGATCACTGGGTTTATACTGGTAGTGAGTATTATGGGAGAAAGAAAATCTCCTTAGCAGGCTAAAGTCAAGACACTGCGCTATTATAAAGTCTGCTATAATCTGCCCTAGGCAAAAAGCAAATTGATGCATCTGTCCCACTGCCAGAATGATCTATAGAATGTTGAATATCTAGACATTGTTTAGATCTGTCCTGTTCAGGCCTGTTAATTTATGAATCTCTGTTCTTAATTACAGTAGTACTTGGGCAGCAGTGGGCAAGAACATGGAGTGAGGCAAACAGAAAGCAGCAAGTGTAAAATACAGCAGATTCACAAATGTCTACAATTAATATTTTTAACAAATGCATCACTGTTTCTTTGTGTTGCCGCCTGCTGTTTTCCCTCCTTTTTCTCTGCATGCTCAATATTTTTCTCCCATCTGTCCCTTGCTCCTTGGCTGTAATGATGGGACAGATGTACTGCCTCCTAAGTCTTCATCTTAGGGCTTGTATTAAAACAACCTCATTGCTCCATTCCTCCTTCGCATTCTGTGTGTGTTCATGTTCTTTATCATCTCCCCTTCCTGCATTCTCTCTGTGCTGTGTACGGATATATATATATATTAAGACTAATGTGCTATCTCTCATGGTCTAAGTAGAACTGCTACATACATAAGGTATGAAATATTGATTGTTATATATACATGTACATATATGTATATACTTATATATAAATATGTATGCGGGTATGTGTATATATGTACATATATATGTATGTGTACATCTAAAAATATGTGTTGGTTGCCTTGTACCTTTCACTGTAGAAGATTCTTTATATGGTTTCTGTGATGTGAAATAACACATTCTTCATTGTAACTGGCCCTTCAAACTCTGTAAGAAAAGCTTTTAAACAAAAAACCTCTACATATTCTTCATGAGATTCTCTTAGGATCAGCTGTGCTTTGAACTGTTAAAAACTGCCATTTCTGTTGGATGTTTTCCTCAGGAGATATTTTGGGTATGTTAAATAATGGCTAGAGAGAAAAAGTAGCAAGAATAGCATCTGCTATACTTGGAGGGTCTGAGAACACAGAGCTCAGTCCATCCGTCGCCGGTCACCGCCTTCCTCTCCTGATGTGCAGGCTGCAGTGTGAAAAGGTCATGGTGCAGACCTGCTGGAGGAGGGAGGAAGCAAATGTTATTGTTAATGGTTTACTGTTTTCTTTTAGCAGAAGCAACCCTGGAAGTTTGTACCAAAATTCCCCCTAGAACAGATGATTTCACAGTTAATACAATCATCCCCCTCACCCCTGCTGCCCCCGCTTCGAGTTAGGAAATACCAGTGCATTCCCTGTGTGTGTAACTCAGTTCTTGTCACCTCTTGCAAATGATCTGTGTTGTAGCCTTTGGATTTTAACTGAGCAACAAACTATTTTTTCCCTAAAACACAATTTTGTCTTCAGTGCGTAGGTTAGACTGAGACTAAGAATTGATTTGTCTGTGCTGCTGACACATGCCCAATACGTGGAGCAGGCTGACCACTCCTGAGTTCATCCACATTGCTAGAGATTGGAAAAACCCGCTTGCTGCTCAGATTCAGAGCTCTCACAAAACATGATAATGGATTTAATGTAAGTGAAAAGTGCAGCGGGGTAGTAAGGAGCTATTTGTTCTTCCAGCCCTTATTGGATGGAGCAACAAGTGCTGGCCTTGGAATTTCAGCAAGATTCAGATCAGGCTTTTAGCGAAACTCTCCAAAGGCAAAGACAGTAAAGGGCTGAGAGAATCTGTGTGCAGAGACCATACATTTTTGGAATTCTTTGGCAGATTAGATAAATGTCTGTCAAAGACCAGGTATTGATCCATATCTCGAATATTGCTCTTTCCAGTGCAACAAATCAAAGCTTCCTGCATAGGAAAGCTCAGATGAGGGTAAGTGATGTTGAAGTAAGCTGGCTTGAAACCAGCCCTGCTTGTGCCTACTACATTCAGACAGGTTGGAGGAAAGACTGGGTTTATACTAAGGCACAGTGCAAGAACTTCATCCCCAGTACAGTTCCAGAGCTTTGTCTAAGCCTGTGTCTGCCAACATGCTCACCTGCAAGTGCTGTGATGGCAGGAGGGTTATGCTTGGACCTGTGCTTGATAGTCTTTTTCTACATTTTAGAGTTACTCTGGCTGCTGTGGCCCTGTGTTTTCCAAAGTTTGATTGTTTGGTTGCGAACATATAATATTTTTTCAATATGTGTTGCCACATAGCTGGCAAGGTTTGATATTCTGCAGTATTTGCACAGTATTTTCCTTCCCAGACATTTGTACTAATTTCAGACCATGCTGCTGAGTCCAGTGGATGTAACTAAAGCAGAAGGTTTTTCCTAACAGCGATAAAAGATGTAAAGTGACCATAGTCCCAGTCGTGAGGTGTGCTTTCAAAACAATGAGCAACCTTGTGTAGTTTAACCCTCACTTTTTTATTTTGAAATTTATTTGTGGTTGTTTTGCCTTTTTTGTTACCAATAGTGAGGCAGATACTTTCTGTAAGAATCTATTTATCATATTTCATAAGATGGAGAGGGTAAAATGAGTCAGTAAATGTGAAGGACAATTTTGTGTCTCCAAGTCTTACCCTGATATTACTTTTAAACCAGCTTTACTTTGAGTTTCTAGGTGCAAGTGTAAACTAACCAGTGATTCCCACAGCCCCACAATGTAGCTGTATGAAAAAAGCCAAATTCCAGGCCAGGTCTGCAGTCCTTCCATGTGAGTCTGCCTTCTTTTGGGGATGCTCTGGAGACATCACAATGTGTGTGTATGAATTGGAAGGCTGGAAGACTGACTGTGGAAGCAGAAACATATTCATTTTGTTCTGTATTTGCTAGCATACTTTAGTAGTCAGGCACTTAACTGAAAAATAATAGCAGGTAAACTAAAATTTGGGCAGAAAGAGCTAAAAGATATTTTCTGTTTTAACATAAAATCATACTGTAGGCAGAAGTACAGGGGAAAAGAAACAAAAACACAATTTTGTCAACTGTTGTTTGAATATTTTTCTCTAAGCTCAGCTCTGAGAGTGCACTATGTGGTTACATAAGAACTTGTGGCTTCTTGAAAACCTATGTATCTGAAGGCTGAAAATCCAGAAAGAAAATAGAAAGAATGGCAAACGTTGATTTTATAATGTGGGATTATTTTTAGCTTTGTTCTCATTACGTTTTAGGGAACCTGCCCCATTGTATTTTGTGTCCTTGAATAAACTGAGCATTTTGAAGATATTATAAAAGTGAATGTGCTTAAAAGCAATGGATTTTGAACTAGAAAATGTTGGTTGTAAGTCAGAAGATGCATTACTGGCAAAGTGTATTGTATATTGCTGTACAGTTCAACAGTGCAGGAACTTCATTTCAGCAAGGACTGTGTATATCTAGGACATAAAGAAAGGCATACTTAAAATACTGTTGTGAGGAGGAGAGGCCGAAGGTACTCTTTCATGTCTTAAAGG